GGTCAATTGTGTCTGTTCCATCGATTCTTCATTCAATATCTCCTCTCTGTCAACAGCTCTCTCAGCCAGCTTGAAATCAGATCTCATTCGTGAAATAACACCATCTACATAATTTTTCGTAGCCATATGTTCCGTTGGAGGATGTCTTGAAATAAACTTTTCAATATCCTTTATTTTGCTATCAATCATTCTCAATGTATCAGTCGACTGCCTGATGATGGTATCCAATGAGACGAGTTTATGTTTCAATTGGACTAATTCGATGATGTTACCGCTGCTGCCAGCTGATCTGCGGCCGAACTTGTCAAGACTCATGATTGACGACTCTCAGTATATAAGGTTAGCTGCACGAAGTTCATTAACGATTGCCACTATTTCATTATCGAGTGATGTGTTTCCAGCTTCCTTAGAAGCAATGAGTAGTTTCAAGCGGTCTACGAGTTCATTTGGATCGTCCCAATAGATATATTCCACGGAATTTTCGTTTTACGTCAAACCACTACCAATCGTTGAACGCCTACCGCTGTTTTTTCGTATCTGTACAATAAGTGGCTTGATGACGTTCGTATACTTCCATCTCTTAGACCCTTTCAATTTTCCATCCTTGTTTATATAGCGATCACTCAGCTTCAAAATTTCCTTGTAAGCCTGCATGTCTTCATCGTTATAATCTGAAGGATCATCATAGAAAATGAGCTGATACACCCCTGGAGTTCCTCGTACTTGTTTACCACCAATCTTTATGAATCCAGTTCTTTTATCAAAGTCAATTTCCTGCGTCCCCAGAAACCATTTCGACGTTTGAGGATCGTAAGTTGGACCATACATCTGATCTATTTTGTCGCTGTAATCCCAATGTTCTCTGAGATATGGATGCACCATGACTGGGTATTGGTCTAGGTATTCATCGATTACATCATACGGAATACTTTGTTCTGGAGTGATATTTTCGTTCAACAGGATATCATCATCATATTCGTATTGATCATCATCATCCACAAAACTTCCGGTTCCACCCACCTCTTCCATTGGAATAAACTGCGTTTGCTGAGCCTGTTCTTCTTCTTTTTTCAGTTCAGGTGGCTCTTCTTTCTTCATACTGGTGTTAAACTGGGCTCTTGCCAGTAAATCACGATTGGCCTTTGACGTTTTCACAATTTCTTCCAATGGTTTGGATATGGGCTTGAACATTTTGTTCAGCGATTCGTCCTCCTCAGATTTACCCAGTTTCAAGGCCAAGTACTTTTTTCTGATTGTACGCGTGAGCTCTGTAATTTTCCGTTTACGTGCTGCAGCCTGATCGTCATCACGTTTGGATGGCATTCTTCTTCTGCGCATGACTTGACTTGACGACCTCATGATGTCGAATGACTACACTTTTATATATTTGTCGAAACCTTGGCGATATCTGCCGTTGTGCAAATCAAAATCCTAGACAATCACTAGAGTACCATATGTGACACTCCAACATTCGGAGCACAATTTTTTAAAGACGTCAAAGCTCATGTCTGGAGAGACATGTTCATCAAACACATGCTTCAAGTTGATCTCGTCCTGTTTGAACAGCACCACCATGTTACAATTGTCTCTCAATAATTGCTTAGGAATTTTAGAGTAAGTTTGGCAAAGGTAGGCAGCATCGATATCTTTGTGTCTACACATTGAAAAATATTCTCGAATTTTTTGTTGCTCATCACACGCCACATCGTCAAATATGAAAATCGAGTTGGGTTTCGCCTCAGATGGGCTTATTATTTCATCGTTGTCTCTGTACGGAAAATATCCCACCTCCTTCACTGCATCCAACACCTCTCGAAGTAGCTGATATTTCGGTTGATACAACGACTTGGAGTACACGTAGACATTTTTGAATCTCGCGCCATTTCGATTGAAGAGTAACGATAGCATGGCGTTTGTCTTGCCACAACCACTCGGTCCACACATGATTGCTCGAAACGAGTTGGGTAATAATTTTCCATGTTTATTCGGTGTCCTTGGTGACGTGTGGAGGTCCAAATTTTCGATAGGTAGCGTCTGGTCTTGTTGAATGACTATCATCTCGTGATAGAGGTGCAAAGACTCCAATGATTGTGTACAAGGGAGAGGGTATTTTGAATTCTCTTATAAACAAATTACCATTGTCAATTACCACCTACCTGGTGGCTATCAATACTGTGGACGTAAGTACAAAAGTGAGGTTAGAGATTGAATAACTGATTTTACGTTACAGCTGGAACCAAACTTCAGAAACGGCTTGCACGTGGTGATCCTGGCATCAATCCCTTAGACGTTGCCTGCAAACAACACGACATTGCATATTCACAGAACACGTCTTTGGAAGAACGTCATAAAGCGGATTCGGTGTTGGAGAACGCTGCCTGGGAACGTGTGAGGTCGAGAGACGCCAAGTTCGGTGAAAGAGCTGCAGCATTAGTAGTAACTTCCGGGATGAAGGTGAAACGCAAGCTCGGGATGGGATGTTCTTTCAAAAAACATATCGTGGGGAAAATCGGGAAGACGTTGAAGAAGAATCCCTCGACCAATTTGAAACAGGCTGCATCGTTTGCTTTGAAAGCTGCTAGGCATGCCGTTAAACAAGCAGGTGGAAGGAAAAAAGTGAAAATACCACGAATAATTCCTTTCGATGCCAAATCCGGTGGGATTCTACCACTGCTACCAATCTTTGCTGCTCTTGGTGCACTAGGATCTCTAGCTGGAGGTGCTGGAGCAATCGCAAAGACTGTCATTGACGCTAGGAATGCGAAGAAAAAGATGGAAGAAGACCATCGACATAACAAGGCTATGGAAACTATTGGCAAAGGACTGTACTTGAGAAGAAACGCCAAAGGAGGTTTCGGCTTGTTTTTGAAAAAGCAAAAAAACTTCCGATGAAGCTACCCAATCGACCGTTGTATGATGTCGAGTTGACAAAGTATGTTAAATATTTGAGAATCCCACATTTTCGGGGTGTTTTCATGCGTGACAACTTACCAAGCAGTGGACCCCGTCAACGCGAATCTGCAATCCTAAATTTGGACGTGTCAAAGAACCAAGGCACTCATTGGGTAGCTTACAGAAAGATAAATGATGTCGTCGAGTATTTCGATTCATTCGGTAGCCTGAAGCCACCGAGAGAACTTGTCCAATATCTGGGCAAAGTCAAACTCTATTACAATAACGATCCATTCCAGAAATATAACCAAATCAACTGTGGTCATCTCTGTCTGGAGTTCCTGTACAATGGAAGCCGTTTTAGCATATCTCCACCGTGAGAAGGCGTTGCAAGACTTTTCCGCAGAAGAATTGGCACTCTTCCCCATCAACTATCTGATCCAACATGTTAGACCTTGGGAACTATTGGATGTTTGGCATAAATTACCACAGGACTATAGGAAGAACTTTGATCTGAGAATTCGATTGCCTTGTTACATCCACTATAATAGACCTGATGCTCGAACCCACGTTGATGGCCCGGTCAGCTCACAGTTTGAATGTCATGGTTGTAATTATTTCTTGAAGTGTAGAGTTGTCTTGGAATAAATATTCATAAGTATAGCTGTGTGTCATTAGGTACGTCATGTCTCTACTGTTGACCTTGACGAGTACCACCAACCAGTTTTCTTTCACACCCTCCTCACCGATACTACTGCACCCTCTGAAAAGCTATTACATAGCTGTACTAGGATTTCACACCTATCATTCCATACCGAATATTGATGGTGAAAAGTTCTACTACTACGAGAACGATAATCGTGAAGTACTGAAAGAGATTCAGTTTCCGACCGGCTGTTATGAGATAGAAAATATTGAGGATTACATTCGGAGACAAATTCAAGAAGCTGATGCAGATTTCACTTTGAAGCCCAACAACAATACGTTGAAGTGTGAAATCTATAGTCGACAACATACCATCAGTTTTGAGGAAGATAACAGCTTTGGTGAGTTGTTGGGATTTTCGAAGAGGATCTTGGAACCTGGCCGAGTTCACTGTTCAGATCGTCCTGTGAACATTCTGAAAGTATCAAGCCTACATTTCGATTGCAACATCACTGAAGGGTCGTTTTATGCAGACAGGCCTGCTCACACTATATTAAGCTTCCCCATCACCGTAGATCCTGGTTACGCTATCAACGAACGTTCAAATACCCCTCTCTATTTACCTGTGAGAAGTAGCCTCAGAGACATCACTAACATTACCGTTAGAGTGCTAGATCAGGACCTAAGACCTGTTAATTTTCGAGGAGAAAAGGGCACCCTACACTTGGACTTGCAAGAACGTTGAATGGGTCTAGTAGTTGATAATAAAAGATTAACCACAAACTCCTCAGTATCAACGGGACCTCCGAAGAGACAGGAGCTCACTCCAGAAAACGTTCTCTTTCTGCAAGCAATCGGATTACGAGTGAAAAATGAACAAGCGCAAGTATATTCGTTCGGAAGAATCAACAGCACCAACATTCAACCACACAAACCCAATTTTTGATCTGTATCGTCGGCCCAGATATGATGAAACTATTCGAAAAGAAGAATATCGCTCCTACATCCCATACGTCAAATCCTTCAATAACAATGATATGGTGGAAATCAACATAAATCAAGCAGACACATTTTTTGCAATGCATGAGTCTTTGCTGGAAATCAAAGGAACGTTGAATGTGCAAGGAGCTGGAAATGTGTACTTGGCCCCCAACTGTGGAGCATTTCTATTCGATTCTTGCAGTTATGTGCAGAGTGCAAGAGAGATAGAAGTAGTCAGAGATCCAGGGATCGTGAGTAGTGTGCGAGGATTCATGTGCTATAAACCTGATGATTCCAAACACTTATCCACAGCCGGATGGACGTATCCTGATAAACCGCTTTTGAATGCAATTGACAAGACATTTAGTTTGTTGATACCACTAAAGCACCTGTTCAACGTTTTCAACACCTCAATCACCTATGGAAAACAAACAATCCGACTGATTCGAGCTCGTAATGATAACGATTGCGTGATAGTACAGGAACTCCCCAATGGGCCTACAACCACTACTACTACAGTTGAAGTACAAATACATAGTGTAGTGCTAAAAGTGAAGCACGTATTTCCGAACGACGAAATCAAACTACAACTGATGCAACCCATCAAAAATGATACACCTATACTGATTCCATTCAGGAAATGGGACCTCAGCCAATTGCCTGCTCTTACAAACGGCGCAAAAAGTGAAATTTGGGCAGTCAAAACGAGCGCTTCGGTGGAACGTCCTCGGTACGTTATTGTGTGCTTCCAGAAAGCTAAACGTGACAATGCAGAAGCTGATGCTACCCACTTTGATAACACGAGCATAGTTAGTATCAGATTAGCCCTTAATGGTGAATATTGGCCTAATGAGAGAATGCAGCTGGATTTCGCTAAACAAGACTACACCCTTGCTTACTACAACTATACCAGGTTCTATTCGAGCTATTCACATTCGATGGAGGTTCACCCAATCTTGGATTATGGGGAATTCAAACAGCATGCATTATTTGTGATTGATTGCTCGAGGCAGGAAGAGACCATGAAATCATCGACAGTTGATATAAAGCTTGAAATCGAAGCCGATAAAGGATTCCCTGCTGACACCAAAGCCTATTGCATCATCGTACATGACTGTCTGCTAGAGTACTTCCCTCTAACGGAAGTCGTCAGAACCTTGATTTGAGTATAAATACCAACTGCAAACTGCTCGAGCTCGCATTCGATCGTCGGCCGTCATGAGGATCGCACTTGTCGACATTCAAGGCTTCACTCTTGACAGTGTTTTCCACTTGAAAGAGCTGACCATTCAAATTGGCCGCCAGAGATCCAACTTCCTATTCAAACCGCCTACACCGTTTGCTACCATTAGTGGACGTGACAAGAAAACTACCCGTTATGTGGAGAAATTCGTCCATGGAATACCATATGATGCTGGTGATGTTGAATATACGGAACTGAACAACATTTTGGAAAAATATCTCTTGCATTCGGTTGAATGTATGTACGTGAGGGGCAATCAGAAAGCTGACTTTTTTAAGACGAAATGTGAAGAACTTGAAGTATTCCCAACTGTATACGATGTTGCTTTGTATGATGGAACACCCTGTTCCAGTAAAACCTACCAGCAAACTATATCGTACTGCCCCAACCACGCCAATGGAAAATATATGTGTGCCCAGCAGAACGTTGATCAACTTTACCAGTGGTTTATAAATGTAATATTACCTAAATGAAGATGTACTGTGTTTGGCTCAATAAACATCATGATAAAGATGGGAGTTTTATTGAAACACCTTGTATAAGTTCCATCATTTTATTCACGATATATGTACCCAGCTTTCATTAGGCCTTTCACAATCAAAACGAACGTAGCTGCTAATGTCAAACCTAGTAATATGAACATTTTATTAAATTCATTCTGTATTCCTGTTTTGGGGGCTCCTATAGTTTGCCAGTCGGTATCCTCTTCAGATCCACCGGAAAACATCAACTTGAGTTTGAAGAAGGAATTATTCGTCTCTGGTATCTCTTTGTAGAATACTGGTAGACATCCATTGTTCACCAACTTATTCCGCATCGCTGTCCACGATGATCGATTGCAATCTTCCTTCAAGTCATTGAAGCATATCGCCATGTTCTTGACATCCTTGGGAACATTTGTATACAATACGTTATTCAAAATTGCTGTCAGAACTATGAATGCCACCCGTGACATTTTGAGGCTGGATGTGTCGTCTCTGCTCAACAGGCACCTCTACTGCTGGTACTCTTCCACAGCTGCTGAAAACTTTATCCCACAAACTCAGATTCTCCAATTGATTCAATACTCTGGTTTTATCTTCGTACAATGTTATGTCTTTGTTCAGCTGTCGAACCCGCTCCCCAAATTCCTCCAACTTGCTTCTGTACTCGTCCAAGGACATTGTAACACTGATTCAAAGGTCAAGTCTGAATAGTGGTAGTGGTAGCTACGCATGCGCACAGCTGATATAAGCTTTGAGACACATCCAGTATCCATGATTGAATGGCTCGTGACAACAACAAGTTTGAACATGTCTGTTGGATGACTCATCGGCCACCTGCGTCAGAACAATGGACCCATTGTTCTCACACAGATAAGGATGATGCAATCGGATGAGGTTGTTACGTAATCGGACACCTGCAAACAAAGGCGGCATTGTTCTACGTCGTCGAGATAAGGATGACTCATCGGCCACCTGCAACATGCATATCGGGTGACCTTGAAACAAAGTGCTACCAATTGTAGTAATACCAACCTAAATCTGGTAAGCACAGTCACTGGATTGTGACGTCATCCACCATCTTTCAAAAAGAAGAAGAAGAATGTCCTAGGACACGCCCATAAGCACTATGTCTAGAGTCCGGAGGCTAGGGGGCTAAGTTCAGAGTACTTCCACGTGTCATCTGTCATTCCTTGTGTTCCATGTCATCTGTCACTCTTTGTGTTCCATGCCATCTGTCACTCCTTGTGTCCCATGTCACCTGTCATTTGTCATCTGTCACTTGTCATCTGTCACTTGTCATCTGTCACTTGTCATCTGTCACTTGTCATCTATCATCTGTCACGTGTCATCTGTCTCCTGTCACTTGTCATCTGTCACGTATCACTTCCGGCGGCCATCTTGTCACCCGTGCAGCCAACACCTTCTACCACAGGAACGGCTGTGACGTCACTTCCGGCGGCGGCCATCTTGGGCTGGTAAACAGGTAGGTACACTACTGATATAGTGAGTAGATAAACAATGGGACAGCACAGCTGCTCTCTCGTACATGCTTTCTTACCTATGAGAGTGCAGAAATTTTGAACGTACAAAATGAGAACCCCTTGCTCTCCCATACATATGTTTCCTTACCTAGGGGAGTTCTGATATTTCAATATGAGTACCCCTTGCTCTCTCATACATGTTTTCTTACCTATGAGAGTACACCTTGCTCTCTCATATATGTTTCCTCACCTATGAGAGTACTCCTTGCTCTTTCATACATGTTTCCTTACCTATGAGAGTACACCTTGTTTTCTCATATATGTTTCCTTACCTATGAGAGTACCCCTTGCTCTCTCATACATGTTTCCTCACCTATGAGAGTTCGAACATACAGTATAAGTACACCTTGCTGATATTTCTGGTTGCGCCACTGCACTCCATTCGAAAGCATTCCGAAATAAGTGCACCGAGTAGAAGTGAAAGCAATAGCTGTGACTATTGCGAAATCATTCCGATGTCACTCGTTCATTTAATTTTGCGGAGGCTGGAACTTAATTAGCATATCCACGAGATTCCCGGTCGACGGACAATGGAGATGCTAGTCGATAGAAATGGAAATTATGTTATTAGTTCATAAAAATGCACTTGGAGGGCAATTGCTTATGCAACTTGTGCTACATACTTCCGAATCCATTTGATTAAATCAACATTATCTAGAACATTGATTTCCTATGATTCGATGTTTTTTTTATCGGTTGGATCGCACGAAATTCCTGTTCTGTTCTCCCATTTGCGAGTACTCCTCGAAGGCAATTGCTTATGCAACTTGTGCTAAGTACTTCCATTTGATTTAAACAACATTATCTAGAACATTGATTTTCAATGATTCGATGTTTTCCATGATTTATATGAGTTGGAGCGCACGAAATTCCTATAATAAGAACATCGTGCGTACCTAGGCAGGATATAGGGAGAGGAGGTAAGTGTTTTTTTTTAATTTTGGAGATCAAAAGTTCTTGTTACTCAGGCAATGAATTACAGAGCTTTACCGTTCTATAGTCGAGTTTTGATAAAGTGCTGTTCGACATATTTCGAGGTTGACAACTAAAGGAAGTGCTGACTTGTCGAGTTCGTCTGACTGGTATTGATAGTGATGGATAGATATGGAATCATCTGTCCAGTGCTTTATGTATTCTCAATGATACTCATTGCCGTTGGATTTTTTCTTCAACTTCGCAATGAATTCCAGAGCTATACACACACGAGTTTTGTGCTGGTTCGACATATGTCGAGGTTGATGACAATGAAAGGATGTGCTGAGTTCGTCTAACTGGTATTGATGGATATATTTGGATTTTGTTTCAAGCACGACTCTTTATGTATAGTCAATGATACTCAATGTCAGAATCCCAAGACCTCATTCATTAATTATTTCAGCAGACTCCAATAGTGTCCAGATAGAAAATTGGTTCTACATATTGAATTCAAGTTTCTACAATAATGTGCTGCTTGTTCGATTAGGCAAAGCCAAGGATATCTAAGGATATAGGGTGCTGATAGGGTGCTTCAATACGAGTTTAAAACTATATAACGATGCTTCTCAAATCCAGCTCTCATTTGGAATCTGCTGAAATAATAGTGAGGTCTTGAGATTCTGAACAAAAAGATCATTTCCTAAAGCAACGAATTCCCGAGCTTTACCGTTCTATAGTCGAATAATGTGCTGTTCGACATATTTTGAGGTTGACAACAATGAAAGGATGTGCTGACTTGGTCGAGTTCGTCTGACTGGTATAGATAGTGATGGATTTGGATTTTTCTGTCCAGTGCTTTATGTATTCTCATGATTTTAAACTCCCTACAACTCCCCTATGATTTGCCATGAATTTTTTTTTCAATGTTTCCCTACTAAGGTTTGTCATGGATTTCTGGTATTTACCACTTGAAGGCAATTACTATTGCAACTTGCGCTTCAAACGAATTAGTTATGTTTGATCATCGTTTTTCAATGATTCGGTATAATGTAATTAAACTATCTCTACTCTTATTAGGTTTGAAATGCTCATTCCTATGATCTAGAGTTCGGTGTGTCTACACATTGTCAGTATGGATGAATTCTCTAGGCAAGTTCAATATCTCGAGCGTTAGGAGCGCACGAAAAGATATCTCTATCGAAACTGTGATTCTCGATTTGCCTGAGGAGGTTCATGAGGATGTAGATTTTGCAGGTACGTCGAAACAAATTCATTAAATTTTTGTGTGACTTTGTATGACATTGGAGAAATGGATTCATACGGAACTCTCTCTCAATTCCTTGGTATAATTTCCTTTCTCACTCCTCTCTTATCATGAAGGAAGTCGCTCATGAGTATTTATAATTCGAAACATATTCATTATGTTTTTATAAACTATGGTTGATGAAATTTTGACGAATGGATGATGATCTCTTGATTCGATTTTTTTTCCACTCCTCAGGTATACACCTCTTGAAGCATGCTGTATGGAATTCCATATAAGCTCATCTATTGACAGACAATAATGAAATACTTTTAGAAAAATGGATGATTCTCATGATTTATACAGAATCGCTCATCTATTGACAGACAATAATGAAATACTTTTATGGATGATTCTCATGATTTATACAGAATCTCTGGTATAATTTATTACTAGGGCTCCCCATGAGGATGCCTGAAGAAAGTATTTCCAGCATGCTGTGTGAAATTCATTATTATCGATTGGGAGACAATCACTGAACGCCACTATTCAGCAGTCAGATGATTTTCTCTTGTCATTACCAGATGATTTTTCTTTTCCACTCCTCAGGTATACACCTCTTGAAGTAGCCAGCATGCTGTATATATGGAATTCCATATAGGCTTACACAGACAATAATGAAATACTTTTATGGATGATTCTCATGATTCATACAGAATCCCTGTTTATTACTAAAGCT